ATCGCAAGTTTATAAGGTGGCCCATTGAATCGGGGAGACTGCCTGTCAATTCGTTGGATCCCAAATCCAACATCTCTAAGCTGTTATTTTTGCATCCAGATAATCCATTGATAACTTCAGATATTTCACCGGTAATCTTGTTAGTGGAAAGGTCCAGATTCCACAAGTTGCAGAGATTTTGCAATCCTCTCGATAACCGACCTTCAATGCCATTCTCAGATAGATCAAGGTTTTCAAGGGAAGTTAACTTGGAAAATGCATCAGGAAGTCCACCATGGATATTGTTGGAATTGAGATTAAGATATGCAAGGCTAGTGAGATTGAACAGCCAGTAAGGTATTGTGGAGTCGAAACCGTTGTTGGAGAGGTCAAGGACCAAAAGGGATGTAAGATTAACAAGTGGAAGAGAGATAGGAAGGTTGGATAGCTGACACTGGGGCAAATGCAACTCCACAAGAGAAGGAAACATATTCATAGTTGAAAGCCAAGAAGATGCAACCTTGCTAAGGTCTACACTTGCCAAATTAAGGTACTTCAAGGACTTAAAATTCGACAACCATTGCAAGTTATTCACCTTCAATCCGTCAACAGAAGACTCGAGATCAAGATAACGCAAAGTCGAAAGATTTCCGAGATTTGGAGGGATCGTGCCACCGAAGGATGCACTTGAAAGATTGAGATACCTAAGTTTTGTCAGGGACCCGAGGAACTCCGGAATTCGGATTCCTCCAAAATTATTCATGCTGAGGTCCAAGTAGTTCAAATACTTTAAATTGAGTAAAGAAGGATTGATCTCGCCTCCCAATTCGTGAGTTGTTTGATCAATATCATAGCTGTTTGGAAATGGGTTACGGAGTTTAAGCTTGATAACATATCCAGTTCGGTTGTTGCAGCTCACTCCTCCCCATTTACAGCAATCATCTCCAACCCAAGAAGAGAGTCGGCCTGAAGGATCTGTGAGACCTTCTTTGAACTTGAGAAGTGCTCTCTTCTCAATCTCCTTGCAACCCACTTGAAGATCACCGTTGCAGGAGCCAAGCTTAAAGGTCTCAATGAAGAAAAAACCCGAAAAGAGAAGGAAAAATGGAAGTTGAACGGAGACACCTTTTGTGCCCATGTCTGAGTGCAACATAAAGGGGGAAAATATATCAAGCTCTTAGCCTGGTTAGTTAGTTAACGTTCGCTTCATATGATATGCTTTATTTATAAGTGGGGATGAGGGCCTAGGCTGACGAAGACTACAAGGAGAATATGTAGCCTTCCTGCAAGCCTAAGTGTGAGCTTTGGGACTCATTGAG